AGTGAGTTCCCCAGAAATATCATGATCGTATGGATGATTAAAGGTGTTTGTTGATGATATGACATGTGCTTAGTTGTCTGAGTAACAACGGATTGATGACCCTGATCATGATTTACCCCATGCCACAGCAGCTGCTACAATGGGCTAGATCCCCCATAGGGGCTGAGGTGGTGGAAAAATTTCCAAATCTGGATGCCATGGCCAACAGCTCCAAAGCAATCGTTCCCAGTAGATCGCTGCCAAACCTGTGGTAGATGCTGCTTCTGACCATCAGGTTGGAGAAGTGTCAGACAATCCTGGAAGGAACATGCTTTTACCATGCCAAGTGGTTAAGAAATTCCCCCCTATTTGCAGGTCTGCTGTTGCTGGGGTGTTTAGGGATATCCTCTGATCATCATGTTGGAAGTGTGGAAAAAAGGGGAAAGTACTCTGGATGTGAAAGCGTGGTCTTGTGGTATGATTTGCATGGCAAAATTAAGGAACCTGGTAGGGATTGTAGTTCCTTGCGGTTGTAAGTACAAAGCAGGAAGTAGTGATTGATGTAATTGAGAATGTTCACTATTTGTCTTGTGGTAACTTGCGTGTATGGAAGCTGACTCAAGTTGTATGCCCAGTAATGTGATGATAGTGTCTGGGCCTTCTGTTTCTTATGGGGTACTGGGACGCCCAAGTGGTCAACCAGACTAAGCTGCTGTGAGGCTTCTAGTGAAAAATATGTTATCTTTGATCAACAAGAAGTCTTCTAGATAGTGTATCACTGTAAGGCCTCCAGATATGTTATCATAACCAGCACAGAGTATCTTTGAATATCGATAGTAGGCTAATCTGTAGCCTGAAAGTTGAGCGGGGAAAGGATTGCCCATTTTATGCCATGTATGTGCCAGTGTGTAGGGTAGATGGTAGCCGTTTACTGCGTTGATGATATTGGTCTTACTTAACCAAGCTTCAACCCATCCTTGAGTGATAGCTGTAAAGGAGGGTATGAGGGAGTTGAGACTTGGGTTAGCGGAGGAGGCACACAAGCCAGTTTGTTTAAGGGAAGATTTCCTTGTGACACTACCAATGCATTTGTGTTTGGCACCATGCTGTAAATGGTGGAGATTGGAAAACCCAAGTAAAAACCCCTCTGCAAATCTTGGCTATGAGAGTGTTAACAGCTGATGGTTCTGTTGTGCTGACTGTAAGTGAGGGCATGCTATATTCTTTGAAGGTGTATTTATGATACCTGTATGGAAGCCCTTTGAAGCTCCAGAGCTTTAGTAAATCTACTACAAGTCTGGAAGGGTGATGAGTCCATAGTGTTGAAAATGTATTGGTGTGTACAGATGGTGAGTACGTTTTTTTAAGTTGTATTGGGATACATGGTTTGTCATGTGCCCTGAACCATTTGAACATATATGCAAAAGTCTATATGCAATGCAACTACTCATTCCAATTGTTTCTGGTAGTTCAGAGGTGCTGGTACCTGGAGCCTGAGAGTGCTCGTCCATTTGTTTGGGACAAAATCCCTTCTGTATGGGTACCTGCACAAATAAACATCTCTACATATTCCAAATGCTAACCCAACCAAGGGATGGTCAGTTCCCGATTTACCTGGAATCGACCATCACAGATACATCATCATACATATATATGCTGTAATGGATCACCTGGCACCCCGACTGGGTACCTCCGTTGAAGGATGCTCCTAGCTCTTCCTGAGGACTCCAAGCACTGCAGCAGACACTACAACCACCGAACCGGAGAAGAATACAAATGCTCTCAAGCATATGAATGCTGTAAACAGCTGAACAGGAAAAGCATACAATCAGCTTACACTCCTGGCAATCAGCATACAATCCAATTCCCCCAATAACGAGACGACACTTTGTTTTGAGGTCAAGCAGAACTGACTGTACTGGCACATATAGCCTCTTTTATTCACAATCCACAAACATAGTAATGCCCACAGGGTTTTAAAATACAACCAATCAATACATACAATACACACAGACACTCCCACACAAAATCCTCCCCTCTGCCTGTGAAAACAATGGGTAATATAATTATCACAGGAAGAGAAATACAGTTTTTACAAAATATTAATAACTTCCAAAATATACATGCCATTCACATAATCATTTTCAGAATCAGCATGCTTGAAATATACACATACTCAAAAATCAGGGCAATCGGTTCAAGGGTTAAAAAGTTAAGGGGAAGTCCTATTTGACTAAATGAAGCATGTTTTTTCTGCCCAAAACCAGTTCCACAGAGTAATCCAATTATCTCCAAGGACAGAGGCAAAACTCCATTAGCCACATGGTAGCAAAATACAATAAAATAGATACAAATATATAACTGTGCAGCTATTGCATAAAACAGGTACATTCAGCATATCCCCAGATAGCTTAGATCTGAGCGCAGATTATTACTGAATGGCGCTCAGATCACATACATACAGTTCAATTGCCATGGAGCCAAAGTCTTTCACATAGTCTTTTGTTATATGAATGGTCTCCATGGCATAGCTATCTGGGGTAACACTGCTCACATAGGGAAAGTACCGAATGACCCGGCTTTCGGGTCTTTTCAGGGGAATATCCAGCATTTCAACATAGTCACAGGGCAGGAGGCTGGCAATCAGTCTTCTCCAACACCCAGTGGCGAGGCTGGTTCTGCCACACATGCCTTGTTTCCCCAATGTGCTGGGATCATACATGCAGAGTTAACGTCTCGTGTGTCATAAGAATTGATTGTACCAGGTAACCGAGTTTCAGTTTGTGCTGCTTGTACAGTAGCGTGATGCCCAGCCTTGTGAGGGCTGTGGTGAGACTCGAGATTGCCAGTCTGTCGTCAATTTTTGGTTTTATGAGTGAGGCTAGCATTGCCTGGGTGTCACCTGAGTTGGTGTTGCTGGGCCTTCCCCTGCCTCTGTGTTGTCCGTTGATGTATGGAGGAGTTTGAATAGCTCTGCTTTCCTTGCTGTGGCAGAGTAAGGGATTTGTCGTTGTTATGATCAACCCCCCTTGCTAGACCGGGGGTAATCGCTTGGATGTCCTGGTTCCCGAAGTCAGGGAGTCAAACATGGTTACCTTCGGTAGAATCTGAAAGTGTAGAATATCCCCCTAGTGAAGAGAGCGCTAGTGTTCCCAGATCCCTACAACACGAGTCGAGGCTGCGAGTTGAGGGTCAAAACGAACTGGCTTTA